AACCCCCCCCCCAGTGGCTCAGCAGCAAATCTGCTGAATTATAACGCTGTTAGAGGGGATCTGATTGAGGTATTTAAGATTGTAAAGAGAAATGTTAGTGTTGATGCCTCATCCTTTTTCATACTGAAGGACGAGAATAGTAAGACTAGGGGATACAAATATAAATTTTGTCAGGGTAAGAGTCATCTTCAGCTAAAACAGTTTTAATTTTGTACCAGATTGGTTGGTCTTTGAAACATGTTGCCTTCGGATGTTGTGGAGGCAGTAAATTTAAATTGGTTTAAGAGAAAACTTAATAAATAATATATGAATGACAAGGGCTGGCTTTGAGGGTTTTTTATTATTATTTTTATTTAATAGGTTTAGTTTAGAGGATGGGACAGCCTAGATGAACTAATAGGTCCCTTGTTGTCCCTAAATGTTATGTTATATTATGTTATTTGTGAGAAAAAAAACTTAAAATAAAGTCTTGAACACCAAACACCATACATGTAGCCGAAATATAGTAAAAGAAGCCACTACATAACCACACTGCATTTAGCCTATTATTATACACTGTTATACAATATCTCTGAAACATTTTTTATGGATGTATTGATTTTATTCGTTGTTTCGTTCAACTCAGTGGTTTAAATTTCAGATAATTTTGAATATAGTTTATTTAGTCAAAAGTTTGGAAGCCTACCAAAACATCATCCAATCAGCAATGTTCAACATATTTTTGAGATTGTCTAACAGTGACATAACAATAGTTAACTTTCAAATTACCAACTTCTTTTATACAGTTCATCCGTTTATATCAACATATTGCACCATATTGTGTGATTTTACATTTTCATCCGTTAAAACGCTAAGTGAAAAAAAATAACCAAAAAAAAAGTGGGTAAAATCGCTGATTATGCATATACCTATATGTAATATATATAAAGAACCCCGGTACTAATTAACGAGATCAATCAGTTTTGTGTAAACTTATATATATTATTTATTAGAGACCCTGTATAGCCAACAAAGTCCTGGACCAGTGTTTAGAAAACTGTGTTCAAAAAGTCTATGGGAGGTCAACAGTAATAGGGTTACGAAGCTCATCATCTATAGTGTAGAAACTGGGTATTTGTATTATTCAGATTGAGTACTTTACTCAAAATGCATTGTTTTTTAGTAATCCAAGGAAATCCGTATTAATTCCTTTCAAAATTAACACACAAGAAGACAACAAGTCAGAACACATGCGTTTTTTTTTGTTCTTAAATGAACCATTTACATTGTCTTACAAAGAATTCTGCAGACTTCACGCATAACTTAGTTATTGTCTTCAGATCAGTTTAAACTTCAATAGAAATATCATGCGCAGATGCTCAGTAAGTATGCAGGTTTTAATATGACAGTAGGTTGTACTGCAATGTGTAATAGAATAATTACAGAAACTTGTGTTATAGTAGATTGAAAGCGTAAAGTAATTCTCAGAAATTGCTTCCAAAGAGACAGTTTGATTGAACACTATTACTTATTAAAGAAATAGAAACCGATATAGAATAATTAGGTTAAACTCCTAAATTATAAAAGAATATTACAACAAAATGTAATAAATTTGTACAGCTTAATCCAGGTACACGTACTTGGAAAAACTTGGTTATGAAAATAAGTAATTTTCTATAGGAAAGTGTTTTAGCTAAACAAACATAAAAAGCTTTAGTCCTGATTCTCTGCAAAAAATAAAAAAAAATCATTCGATTGGTATAGGATAAACTTTATTATCTATAATAATGAAAGGACGTGTCTGAGTGTGTGTGACCGCCATAGCTCCAAGAGGAAAGAACCTAGAAACCTGAAATTTTGCACCCGTACTAAGTGGACCCTGAGGGTATGCACCTGGGTATTATTACTTATATTATACACGTGCGTGCACGCATGCGCTTGCCTCATTAAAAAATGAGGCAAGCTAGCGCAAAACCACATAGAAAAGAAGTGGTTACTCATATAACAACTTCTAATATATAGAAAAGCCAGTGCGTTTTGGTAACAATGCGTTCCAGCAATTGCTTTTATTTCATGTCGCTTAGCAACAAAAGTATAACTTGTTCTTGGGCTATGTACTGAAAATATAATATGAAATGTATAAACTAAAAAATTTTAAAGTAGTTTTTGATTCCTTAATTTAAAGCCTCCATTGATTAAATTCACAAAAGATTTAAGTTTAAAATTGGATCGATATTTTTACTTTCATGATAAATTTTATGCTTTTGGTTCTAGGCTAGGTTATCTTACACTATGTCTTTACTTTAAACTTATTTATTAATATCTTTAAATCGTATCAACATTCAATACATTTACAAGGTTTCACGACAACCCCATTCACGACCCCTTTGCACCCCCCGTCACTAAACTCGTAATGGGCAGACATTAAACGAACTATTCTATCTGGATAAATGCATTTTGGCTTTTTGACTCCTCTTATTTCGAGAAATCAATCGTGACGTGACACATACTGACTTTTATATAGGTTAGATAACGTGACATATAGTGGCATCTATAATTATCTATAATAATTTTATCATTATCGTACCTTTATGACTTTTTATGTTTCTGGAAAATAAAAATATGTTTAAAATATTTTTTACTGTTCTTCTATGCTTAGATAGGTTCAGAATACACACACTGATATAGTCATCTAGAATTTATCAACCTAATAACCCTAGCGAAGCCGAGTACTCTATAGCCCCAAAAAGAAACCTGAAATTTTGCACCCATACTAAGTGGACCCTGAGGGTGTGCACCTATGTATTATTACTTATATTATCCACACGAGTGCGCGCATGCGCGTGCGTACCTTTTTAATGAGACACGTTAGCAAAAAAACCACATAGAAAAGCAGTGGTTCCTTATATTACAAATAGAAATTACAGACAAGACGTGCGTGCATATCTTTTTAATGAGGCAAGCTAACGACAAACCACAGAGAAAAAAGTGGTTCCTTATATTACTAATGGAAATAACAGTCTATCTGTGATTTCTATTTGTGATATAAGGAACCACTTCTTTTCTGTGTGGTTTTTCGCTAGTTTGCCTCATTAAAAAGATGCGCACGCGCATGTGGGCACACACGCACGTTTATGTCTCTCTGTGATTTCACGGTAACCCCCTTCACGGCCACCTTGCACCCCCGTCACTTAAATCGTAATGGACAAATCGTAAAGTTGTTAATGTATGCCAAAATTGAAACAGAAAGGCTGCAATTCATTCGCATAAACCAAAATAAGCTTCGAGTTAAAGACTATGTCCACCTGCGAGATGCTAAAATAGGTTCATAATACACAATGACAACCTAATAACCCAAGTGAAGCCAGGTACTTACACTAGTAAGCTAATAAAAGTGTTCCCCCCCAAAAAAACCAAATTATTTTGAGATCTAAGTAGACGTGATTAATGCATCTTTTAAGTATATACGCTGTATGTTTAACCCGTGGGTTTTATTCAATACTGAAAAAGGATTTCAGATCTTTAGTTAAACTGAGATTTTCCATGAGTTCTGCAAGTATTTCTTGACCACATACAAATTTTTTTATTTGATAATCTCGTGATCTCAAACATCAGAGCACCGTTACTACACCAGTCGAGAGGTAGCACTGGGAGTAATCTGATGACATTAGATAGCATGGAAAAGAACTTTCCCATACAAATTATTGTAGTAATAATCTGGTTACCTAAATAGAAAATAATTGCTGACGCATCTGATATATTTCAGTGAAATTTGATATCAACAAATGATGAACTACTACTTGTAAGAACTATGGATATTTAGAATTAAAACAAGCTTTTTATTTTAGACTCATGTTCAGTTAATACATTTGTTTATCGTCCTTGTATATTTGCGTTTCGTTTTCCAATCAAAATTATTTCATTTTTATAAAGATTGCAGTATACAACTGTTATATCAGTTTATATACATAGGGATTTTCTTTCGTTACAAAACATGATTTATATACATAATTACGGAATGTCTACCATATTGATTAGGAACGGGAAGTCTGGCGCCTCTTTAATGAGGATATGTAAACTCGCTAATGTGTGTCGCGTTCTTATGTTTCACCCATATAAAAATTATCCCAGATTTAATTTTATCTTCGTAACAATATATATATATATATATACATATGGAAACACGTATTAAAATTATTTTGTATTATAATGTATGTCATGACTATCTTTTTCTTTTGTAGTTTATAATAATGTAAGTAAAACATTTTTGGCAGAATTTAGTCGAAGTTGTTTTTTTGTTTTGTTTTTTTCTGTTTATAAGCTTAATAGATATTAAACTCTTTTGAAGGTACCACAGTTGTTTGCTTTGAATAATTGCCAGCTATCACAGTAAGCTCTAGGTGCTTACCGAAGTTGTGGCAATCAAAATTCAATCGTTGTCATGGCTAATATCCTATTAGAGTATTTTTTTTTTATTGCTAATTAACTAATTATTAATCACCAAGCGCCACACGTTTTGCAGCTACTAATCCGCTGTCATCTTCGAGTGAATTCTGAGAAGGTGCTTCAGATAACAGCAGTGGATTATCATCGAAACTTAGGTAGCTTGTAATTACTAAAAAAGTGATTGACAACATCGAACTACCTTAGTGGCTTTATTTAGTGACAAGTGGCGGGAAAAGATGAAGATCAGATGTATTTGAAGGGTTCGTGATCAAGTGTTTGTTTATAAGGGATAATAAATCTATTAGCTGCATAGTCGCCACTGTAATTACGATCATCTTACTGTTAAGACGTGAATGTCGAAATAAAATTACCATAATTCTGTATGTTTCAGTTGATTAAACTTAACTTATCTATAATTTACTGAATATTTGATTAAAATACATATTGACAAATACAATAATGAAATAATGAGACGAAAAAACAGTTAAAGCAAACAGTTGAACGAATGGAAGAATAGCCTAACAAACTGAATGAGCTAATAATTGAAAAATAGGCAAGTAAAGGGCGACTGACGAGCAGGTAGGCGTGGCAGAGAGCAGGACAAGTGGATAGAACGTGGCTGGATGAGCAGAAAACATACAGAGTGACTAATGAAAAAACAGACAAAAACAAAAATGAAACAGTTGAAAAGATGTAAAGATAAAGAAAGCCGCGATTGAATGAGGCGGAAAGTTGCCAAAATCAATATTTTCCCACTTTCTTTTCAATCGTCAACACAAGATCACCTTAAATAAACAGGTAAGTTATTTGGAGATTACCTCCTATATCGGCGAAGTCACGTGGTTGCAGTTCCACGGTTAAACTTAGCTTATGTGAATTTGGATGAGTAAATACTTGCGAGAGAGGCAGCACAGAATGGTAAGCACGAGCGTTACTTGAGCTTTTATGCAAAGATTTGTAATTGCTTCAAAAGCAACAAACCTTTTCGAGAACATATGTTTATAGAGACAAATGTGTAAGGATAATGGTGTTTTCTTTCTTCCTTTTTATATAACACAGGAAAATTTATAACATCATTAATAACGAGGGTATCCAACTGATACATCAAAGAAATATATATATACTATTTCGATTATAATTATTGATAATTTTAACTTTAATAATTATACTTGCTGCTTACTACTAATGCGGAATTGTTTTCAGTAAAGTAGTCATATATTCTATTAGTTAAAACACGCTTTCTCACCTTGTTATTGGTTGACAAAATAAACTGACACGAATGGTTTTGAAATATAGTCCTTAAACAAATTCAAGACTTCGAGTAAGCATGAACTATGTCATGCGAAAAAAAAAGTAGTTGAACGTGATGCTAGTTTAGGCTTACCGTTTTAAAATATGGTTATGAATACAAAAGAAGAAACCTGTCAAGAACAACTTTAGGCTAAGCTGTGGCTGCTTAACCCGTATGAAAGTTAATAAATAATTGGGCCAAATTAGACCCGTACATAGTTACTTGTAATGCATGTCCTACTTAGAGTTCAGTGCACTTAGTGTGCTGTGTATTTCTAGCCAAATATTCTATTCGTGTTCATGAGCGCAGAACTTTACAAGCACGATAATTCGCTTCAATGTAAAAACACTCCATTTTGAACCTTATCTGGCTCTGAAGCATTATCATATAATATGACTAATTTGTAGATGAAAGCTTCATGTGTTATGACGCCGGAAAAAAGGGTTAATGGAACAATTAGCTACAAAAATCCATCATAGTACAAAGAGGTGGGAGGGGAGTAAATAGGTGATATGAAAAGCTGTAAAGTTTGGTAAATTTAAGTGTTTGTGACAATTCTAATCATAACAGCCGTATAATAAGTGTAGATCTTTTACTAACTATATGGTGCTTATATAACAATAAGATAACTTCCCTATCAAAATAAACAAACTATAGTACTTAGTTTATGTCTGTTTGTTTGTTTGTTGCTAAGCGTGAAGCTACACAATGGACTACATGTGTTATGCCCATCACGGGTATCGAAACCCTATTTTAGCGCTATACACCTACAGACTTAAGTTTAGGAATAATGTTTTTGGAACAGTACAGTGTTTTAAAATAACTAATCTTGGAGAAGTGCTTGACAGACACACACAAAACAATATTATTAGTATAAACACGTTTGAAGTAAGTTTAAGAAATATGTTTGAAAGTGACATATATCAGCATATACTGCATCTAAGAATTTTCTTGTACTTTAGCATTTATTTTGGCAATTGCTCGACGTACTCTTAAAACATCCTGTAGAGGTAAAGTTGTTCCATACACAGAACCAAATTAAGATATGTAATTAAAGACACATCAGTTTGAATAAACCTACGAATGGAAAATATACGGATTTCATTAACTTCCTCTTCAGTAACATATCTAAATATATTAGTTATTGCAAGACAAATATAACTCTTCTATAGCTCTGTGATGACGAAACCTCCACAAGTTGTAAATTCACAGAAAGCAATTCTAACTTCCAATTTTTGTCCTTGGATATAAAACGGTTTGCCTAATTTGAGAAATATTAATTAAAATACAGATTTGTGGAAAGAATTGTCTCCAACTAATTGATTCTTAGATGGATTAACGCTATACCTTTCTTTCGTTTCTTGGAAACTATATATAATTTTAAACAAACAAATTCTTAAACATTAATTGTAAATTATAATAGCTTTGAATTTTTTCTTTATATAATTGCTACAATATAAAATTGGTCGAATTCCAAAATATTTTATGTATGTGTCAGTCTGTTAATGGTGGAAATCGTATCATTTTGGATGACAGTATACTTATTACGAAATCTATTAGTAAGCCTTTAGTAAAGTTAATTGAATGATTATAACCTATATACCTCATTTGTATTTTCAAATCAACGAATAAACCTTTTCAACATGTTTAGTACCTATAGATTTGGATCACGGTAAATCTCTCGACTGTTGTACAGTACAATGTCGCCACGAGTATACTTAGGACTTCAATGCCTTTTCCAAGCAAAAATATTTGTAAGCAGACATTTAAAGCAATTTTTTTTCTGGGAAATTATTTAGGTATTATTAAAAATATGTTAGTTTGCCAGACACGTTGCGTGAAAGTCAGTTGGAAAGATTGGATACTGATTTTGTAAGTCTGTTTAAAAGTTGCATGAATGCGTATCTAGGAAGTCTAATTAAATAATAGATACTTATTATGAAAGTAAAGTAGAATAACAAAGACTATTGAAAGGAAGAATACTTAATCAGGAACACTAATCCTGGAAGTCTATTAGATACTAAGTCTGGAAGCTTATTGAAACATAGGGTACTTATTTTGGAAGTATATTTAAAGGTCTGATACTTAATACTAAAGTATCTTACAAGGTCACATAATTAGTATAAGGAATTTTTATTAAAAGGTCGATTATTTAGTTTTGAAGTCCAAGATATTGTATTATTCTGATATAACGTATATACTCTTACAATAGAAAGCTATTACCATACCCGATCCTTATGATGAAGGTCTATTGGAAGAACTGATTATTACGAAGGAGGTCTATGGAATAACTGATTATTATGATTAAGGTCTATTGGAAGAACTGATTATTATGATGGAAGTCTATGGAAGAACTGATTATTATGATGGAGGTCTATTGGAAGAACTGATTATTATGATGGAGGTCTATTAGAGGAAATCATGACTCATATAATGGAAGAACTGATTCTTAGGGTGAAAATGTATAGTAAGACCGTATTCTTACGATGAAAGTAATTTGAAAGCCAGAGAACTATATAAAATAAAAACATCAAAATGGAAATGAAACAATAAACTTTTAAAGTTAATATATTACCAAATTCGATCTATTCAATCTAAATGAACAAACAGAAGAAGTATATAATAAATATTACATAACATAGCTGCAGTATCAACCAAACGTTCCACTGTTGGATATAAAATAAGGCGGATTTAACGAGGATTTATTCCCTTACTTACAGCCAAACAGTCATTTCCTATAATTAAAGGCACATTTACAAGATGAGTGTTGTAAAGTGCTACGAAGGTCACGGGATTCCAATACTAAGCCTATCAGAAAAGTTTATAAATTAGTGTTTTTGTATTAAATATTTAAAAATGTTAGAGATAAGGATGTTTATACGGTGAAAAACGTATTTGAAAAGCGCCACCTCCCCCCCCCCAAAAAAAAAAACTGAAAATCATGTTTCAACCCCTGTAAAAGTTTAACTCCTCCTAATATACTCGACCTACTGAACTATCCCATTTCTTTATAATGCATTTGCTGAGTATATTAGTAACCAGGAAACAAAGCGCAATACGCATGCTCAAGCTCATTTCAAATCTCACTACCACAATTGTTCGATTTGAGTGTGCGCGCGTGTGTGTGTGTGTGCTATATATCCACCTCGCTTCCTTTTCAACGAAATTCTATAACATATAATTGTACGTCAGGCTGGATATCCCAAAATTTAATAACATAAAATATTTCATGCTGGCTTCGATAAACAGCATATTTGGTAACTAATAATAGTAATCTTGATAAAATAGATTCAGACAAGACATATTTTAGAAAAGTAACTTTAAAAATTCACGGTAACATGATTTTGAACTTTTAAAACAATATTAATTTATTTCTTCGAGAATGTTTAAAAAAAGTTATCATTAGACGAGTTTTAACTGACCTTTTATTTTACAAACTTTAGTACGGTATATGATGTTGAATTACGTGCTTCTACTGAACAAAAAAAAAGGTCGTAATTCGAAATTTCAAATAAGAAAAAACTAGTTTGAAATTATTGTTTATAGTAGTTTTCAAATATCAGAGATTTTCAAAAGCTAGTTTAAATCAACACCAGATGGCACTTTGTAAACAGCAAAATATCTATATACTTTATCTTTTCAAAGCTACAATAACCTTTCTTTTCTTTTGTTTATGTCGCCGTCTATTCACAAGTTGCAGTAGTATTAGTAACCATAAGAAAATATAAGGAATATGGTTTCCCCTTACAGAATCGATTTTAAAAATGTGTTTCAAAAATACTGACAAATTCCATTTCAAAAACAAATAGGAAAGTTTAATCAATATTAAGTTAAAATATGTGTCGATTACTTTTCAAAACTGTCTTATCAATACATTAGACATTAGTAATATTGGTTGCAAATACACCTTTAAAATAGTTTCAAGTCGATTACGTGTCAGACTGGAGAAAACATTACAAAAAATTGTCTTTTTTGGTTGTTGTGTTTTTTCATCCAGATTTGCTTCTTAAGGTTAGTTTTGACTAGGGAAAAATAGGTGTGAAGTTCTGGTGCCCAAAAATATATTTAGAATAAAGAATAATAGTTTTACATGTGAAGAAACTCCTATACAAAACCGAACGATGTTCTTTTCAGGAATAAAAATTCGTGCATTTGAAAGCAGTTTTAAATATAATAACCTTGTGAAAGATTAGCAAGGACGCAACTTGGGTCTACCTACGGAAGCTATGACAGCTGGCGGGACTGGTAGAGGGAAAGGGGAGGAAGAGAAGTCTGAAACCACTGAGGTGAATCTAACCACCCTGAAGCTGAACCAAGGAACTTCCCACCCACATGCAGCTTAACCTCGAAAAACTGAACTTCTAACAAAAATATTTGTTTAAATTTTTATTTTTTAACTGTGTACACACTTCCTCCTTATACTTCAAATACAACCTATACATACGGGAACAGAGTATTATAAATTGAAGACCAGTTAACCAAATCCACATATCACGGATCCAGCTAGGAAGTGTGGCCACGGGTCACGTCTTGTACCAACCCACTCTGACCTTAAACGACGAATTGACCTACCGAATTAAATCAAATTTCATTCAAATCAAAAATGATGGTATCGGGTTACGAACTACGAAAAGCGTAAAAGTGCATATAAATAACTTTTTTTTTTTTGTCGTAGTAACTTTCCTTCTTGTCTTGATCAAGATTATTTTGGGTGTTAACTTGTCATGAACTTTGAACTTCTTCTTTATTTAAAAGTTTATTATAAATTTGGCCGTAATTAGGTTTGAGTGGGGGAAAAATACTTATTGTACAATGATAACAGAAGTATCAAATTATAGTTTTTAGTGGTTCTGTCTGTCAAGAGAAATACTTTTATTATATGTGATAATTATTTTTGTTTATCCAAGTAAATTGTATAGTATGAAGCAACAGACTTCTGTGCACGATGTTAGAGAACACTGTCTAAGATACCATAACTTGTATAGTTATAAAGCATAGCGTCCATGTGTCAGGCTCTCTACAGGGGCGACAGAAGAAGGAAGAGAAAAATTTATTAGTGACCGCTGTTTGTCCTGATTTGGAGACGTGTGATTCGGATTGTCACGCCAGAAATAATTTTTGTCTTGCTGGAAAAGAAAAAAGGTTATATTGAGAGGAATTAACTGTACAGTTCTCGAAACTGTATGAAAAAGCCGTATGATTGGCCGAAATTCGTTGCACCAGATTGCATTAACTACTTCACGCGCCACATGACATTTCCAATGGAATGTTTATCGGTAGTTAAAATGGAGAGGAGATCGCGAATAGGAAACAAGCAATGCAATATGAGGAAGGTTGATAGCGGGAGATGCAAAAAGGACATGGCAAACAGAAGGCTTCCAGCAAGGTCTCGCTTGAAATATTGATGCCAAGTTATCTCCCTTTCATCGCAGCTTTCTAGTATACGCTGTTTTACCTCCAAAGTTCTGCACTGAACATCATGTTTTCATTCTTGAGGTATTTTAGCAAACATTTATCATCACAAATGAGACATTTCACGCTGAAATTAAAAGGTTGAGTATTCAGATCGTATGTTTAGAGGAAGTGACTCCCTCTGAGGTGCCCCCCAATGGCACAGCGGTATGTCTACGGACTTACAACGCTAGAATCCTGGTTTCGATACCCGTGGTGGGCAGAGCATAGATAGCCCATTGCGTAGCTTTGTGCTTAATTACAACTACAAACAAACCCTCTGAGGTCCCTGATATCCAGTATCCAATTCTCGTAATCTTTCTTGCAGCTCTATATGAAAGATAACTTTTTGTTCAATGGTAGTTCATATGATTTTCCTTATCCTCGCTTCTCTGCCAATAACAAGTGTACCAGTCTTCTGGCATATACAGAAGCAGCTGGGTGGTGTTTCTGGGATGTTGAAGTCTTAATAAAGTTGCAGCTTACAGTAACAATACTCCGTATTAAGACTATTTTATAAGACGCTGCCGCAACCAACTTTATAATATTGCCAAACCTGATTGCTTTTGAACATAAACTTTGTGATTGGTGTTAGTCTCCCTGGTTGGACTATCGAAAAGATACCTCAATGGACTAAACATGAGTCTTCTTTTAAAGGGCGGCTTCAGATTTGTTCAGCTCTCTCTTGTATACACAACATTTATTGGAGTGTAGAAAAAAAAGATGCTCTATCATGTCCACGGAGCACCTGTCAGAATCTTGAATATGACATATTGGAGAGCTTATTTCAACGAAGAAACCTTATAAGAACGCTTGCTTACGCAATGCTCTGTTTTCAACGCCCGGCAACCCGACTGATACTAACAAAGGTGATGTCACTGACGATCATAATAGAATACACAGTTATCTATGGACTTCAAAGTCTTGAAACCTCTTTTTCATTTACGTCATATCATAATACTTGTGATATATACATGTATAGTGACATTTTTCATCACTAAGATAACTGATAAAACGACAGTCTGCTCTGTGAACAATGAGCGTCCTGTTATTATTGTAACACAAAGCCGTAATAGGCTATCTGCGATCACGGTAGATAATCGAACCCCAGATTTTAGAGCTGTAAGTCCGTAAATATATCGCTGATGCTGGGAACGACGTCCTGTTAAGGAAAGGTAAAACCTATAAAGTTACACATGTAATTACACATGTCAAAATTGTTTACTATTAGCTAATAATATTAATAGCTTTGATTAGATTAGCATAAGCGACGTTTAAGCTATAAACAGAATAAGCTGGGGTTATCCTTACTTGTTGCTGAACTAAAAAGTTAAGAATAGGTGAATGTAAATTGTAAAATGGATTTCGAAACATCAGTCTAAGCCTTTCAAAACTCGCAGAACAAACTTCTAGAACGATCATTTTCTACGTCTTATATGAAAGATATTTATTATAAACAGAATTGATCAATTCAACGATATCGACGTTAGGTTGCTGTCTCATAATTGCTACGGTGAAATGTTTAGTGTACAAGATAAAAATGGAAGATTATATGCATAACAGTATATATATATATGTGTGTGATATTATTATTATTTACTTTCTTTTGTTTAACCGCAAAGTTGCACTATGAGCTACCTGCGTCGAGTCCACTGAAGGTATTGAACCCTGAATTTTTTAGCGTTCTAAGCTCTCCTATTTATGACTGAATGCTATATATGTAACTACATGTATAGGTATTGCAACTTAATTCGAACAGCGTCTGTCTTGTATTGTATAAAATAGAGGACTTTATGATGAAACTCGTCAATAAAGAGAGAGAGAGAAATCTTGATGCCAATTCTGAGGTAGATGTTGAAAACAAGGACAACAGCCAAAAATTTTAATAAAACATTCTGGTGGCTGTGTTTTAGTGAACTTTCACTATTTAAAATACCTTTTAGAGAAAATACGTAACCTGCCCTATTTATACCTGTTCATTATGACTGGTGGGGCGTGGGCACACTACTGTAATGGGGTGTTGTTTTTTTCGTTTTTTTTGCTATATCCTTCCACGTTAAACTCAAACATAAATCTTGATTCAGCCTTCAGTAATACATTTGACTGATAGTTCTTGAA